ACCTGACACACTTGGCCATGCTGAGTCTACGCTAATTAATGTCCATTGCTTTGATCACTTGTATCGGAATTGTTCAAGATACTGATGACGATATATCTTAACAATAGCATCCAATGTAATTCTTAATAAATTCGAAATAAAAACAAAAAACCGCGGACGAATCTCCTGCTCGGCGATCGTTGTACTGTAGTCAATTGATGGGATGTAAGGGCGGAGCTACTTAGTAAACGAATTATGTGTACATTATGTACTGTTATGTCGGTACGGAGAGACGTGGAAAAAATCTGTTTTCAGTTATGGCGCAAAGACCAATTGCTGATATATATAATAACTTACATAATTATTAATTCATAATGGTGGCGCTATAATACAGAGAATTTCGTCTGCATCATTCACAGTAAAGTTACAATTAAGCATAAACTTTAATTTGTTACATTCCAATCAAAGTCGGCAACATATATATGTTATATCTGTACGGAAGAGGCAAAAAGTTCTCTGAATCTACCTTCTCCGAGTGTAAGTGGTCCGTAAATTCGCATGTCTGTACGGTTTCATCCAAGACACATCAACGTAATAACTTTTTGCCAGGTAATAATAGATTACCCTTTGATACACTTAGATGTTGTACTTTTTGTGCGCGTTTCACACACTGCTGAACTTCTCTCACATGTGTAACCGAAATCTGTACCTGCGAGAATCCTACAAGTATGTGGCTCCCGTATGTGGCACCTGCTAATCAACATGAGAAGATCGTCAGCGTTATTATACTGTTTCAGAAATACTCTTCGCAAAACATTAGTCACTATGTTTTTGTTTTGTTTAGCATCAAACAATACTACTTCATCATAACCTTGATGATACGATAGCTGCTACAAAATCTGTGTAAAATAGACATTATAGACACACGTTTACGATTGAAATACTAATTATTTCTGCATTTATTATACTTATTTGTATATTATTCAAACATTACGCACAATCGTATCTTTTCAGGTTATCTTCTGACTGTTTCTACTACTTGTTTACTCGGTACTAGCTATATTTGATATTTGGCTCACAAGTTGGTCGTCCTATCCCTTCAAATATACCTTTTCCTTTAGTTAACGCTGAGTAAACGAATAGTGGCCCTTTGGGAAACCTTCGGCGAAAAACAGATGATAATATGTCTACGTTTGCTTTGTCATTATAAGGATATGCTCAAGTACAAAACCAAGAACAACAAGCGGGAGGGCTCAGGGGGGAGAGAAGAGACCACTGCGGCAGTGTCGAACTAGCAGTACTATAGCCGTTAATCCTGCTGCCATTAGTGAAGTTTTAGTGAGGTTTTCCTTAAGATGACGTAGAACAGTGGGTCGTCGATAGAAGAGCCGAGCAAGTGAGCACGACCTTGCGCGCGCCCGGAACACAATAAAGTCGTGATGAATAAACCATCTGTTTCGGCCTATAGCTTTACGCCACGACTCGCGAAGCCTTTGCACCAGCGACGGGCTTCGCTGGCTATTGATTGTTGTGTACTGGGTTATGAGATGTTGGAGATGATAGTATATCTAATCCAACTGATCTGATAATTGCTGCGGATCGCTGGGTAAACCTCATACCCTTTGCTTAGAATTGGCCTATGGATCCTGTACACGCTGTAGGTGTAGCTCAAGGGTATAAGCAGATAAGCGGTAAGCGGCAGCAGATAAGAATGGAACCTAACGAAAATTTTTGAATAGACAGGGCGTAAAGGACCTCGCTGTAACGGATGGAATAATCAGTATTAGCAGCAATGACCTATGCAGCCATAATTAATCACTTGATTTATCTATAGTCGCAATCAAGTTTTCTAGTTTTATCATAGTCATAATCGATTGTATTTAGATCGTTCTTCTATATCTATACAATGCCTGAAAAGTGCCGCTACCAGCGGGACAATTTTTTTTTTGCGAACTCTCTATTACGCTTAATTGTTATTGCTCCGGGTCAACGTAATCCATTAGCTGTTACTAGATCCCTAAAAATACATTACAAGAGGAACAACTAACAGAACAAGATGGGATTCCTCACGCTGGATCCTCGGCAGGGTGCCTTTATTTAAAAATTTCAACCCTTTACAGATGTTTCTATCTGTCCACAACCATACCTCCATGATCTTCATTTTCATTATCGTCCGCACCAATCCATTTGTTATGTTACGCTTGATGCTATCTGCTCCGAAATAGGCTAGAAGAATAAGACTATCGGCCCATTTGCTATAATAATAATCTATTGGTGACGGAAAGAAACCGTTACTATCATAAAGTGAGCAATAATTTCGCCTTTGTTCACGCGCTTGCCAGTAGCGACGCCAGCGAGTGCGTCCAGGCCAACCAGAGCCTTTCAACTACGTACACAAGTCGTTAAAACACCCCCCCCCCCCCCCCGAAGCATAGCGGTAGTCTGCGACATTGCAGATAACAGCACATGCTATAACAATGGCAATCGGTACTTTATATAGTAGATGTCACGCAGGCAACCGATTTGGCGGCCATCGTCGCTGTCAAGGGGCCAAAAAGGGGGACCTGACCAATATCACTGTTTTCGCCAGTTTGGCTTTCGTAGAATTTTTTTTTCCTGTTTCTTTTCTTCATAGATCATATCTGAGAGTCTAAGCGGACGTTAACAGAACGTGGTCACGCTATGAGTGTGGCATGCACTACGATGGTCGAACCGCTTTACTAAGCTTTCTATATGTGCCTTATTGTGCTGCTAAATCTATTTTTGGTAGAGCCTTACAAACACAGCAATAGAACTTGCACGATAGACGTACTCCATTACACATTCTATGTGCTATCTGTATGTTTTGGGTTAGAATGATCGAGAGTACATGCGGATACACTCGGTCGTCGTTTTCCGGTAGGAACGACAATACATATACTGCATATAGACCTTCTTATACATACGGCACTTTTGCGCGGTGTAGCGCGCTGATTTCAAGAGTCACCCGTTCCATTGCCTTCTCATGTGTCATGTACGAAGAACGACACGTTCATGGAAATAGAAAGAATAGCAAGCAACGAGGAAACACCGTCACGCTTACAAAAACCTGCTTGCATGCAGTCATGCGCAGTAGATAAGTCTGTATGTCTAGGGGCTGGTCCAGGATTCGTGCCGCATCCTGGGTCGGAATACGCATGGGTGAAATACCGCATCCTGCATCAGCAAAACAAACACGTCTTGACATTCTGCGCAGGGCTATTGGTGACCCTACTCGTCGTATCGCGAGCCGCTATCATCAACTTTACACCTGCGGTACATTTTGTGGTCGGCTGTAGTATAGGCAACAAAGATGTGAAACCGATACAGAGGCCGCAACTGCTAGTAGCTGCGACGTCATCATTGTATTAAGTCGTTTTCGGAGGACGGGGGCGACCTCGATAATATGTCTATGGAATATTGCTGAGCCACAGGGCAAAGGGGAGGTGGAGGGTGACGAACAGGAGAAGTGGACCTGGTGTTAGCGACAGAATACAGTTAGGTCAAAGGGGCAAAGCTGCGATGCTGAGAGATTTTCGGGGTCTACCAGAACGCTGAGTTGCTTTGCAAAACTCAAGGCACGGCTTAAATTTAGACGAGATATATCGAACCGGGGTCTAAGGTTGCGGGGTTTGTTAAGCCAACGTCGAAGACGCTAATGGAAGCCGGTAGCTTCAATGGCACCGGTAGCGATATAGGAACCTAGAGAAAAAGTGATGCGGTCTCGGTTGATGCGCTGCTGCTGCCAGTGTACTCACGGCCCCTACTTCACGCAAGGTAACCTTCGAGAGCATGCACCAGGCGGCACACGCCGAAAAATAAAGCAGTGGAAACAAGAAAGCACTGCGACACGAAGAGACGGACACACCGAGAACGGATAAACGAATGGATCGATGGACGGACAAACGAAGTGAAATAGTTCGAGCAACACAGCAAAACGAAAAAAAAAAGAAAATTCAATGACGACGACTAAGGACACCACTTTTTCGTACGGTGTATATTAAGGCAGGCATACTAGGATTGAGCGATGCGGAAAGAAAAGGGGAAAGTGGAAGGAGGAAGAGAAAGAGAAAACTATGTAGAAAGCAGAAACGCTGACCATCAGCGTACACATCAGCTTATCGACAAACCCACTGACACAGCGAAGAGACAGACAAGCAAATTGAGCATACCAACCAGCTTTTGGAACAGACTGACGGAGTTGACTGGCCATAGAAGCTACATGGGCAGCCACATACAAACTAGCACAGAGCACATACACGGAGAGGCACCCGCTCGCTATCCGCCCCCCGCCTCCCGCCTCCCTCTACACACAGGCGCAGAAAGAGAGAGTGCGCGCACCCGGGCCGGCCGTTTTCAAAACAGGCATACACCAAACACCACACCAGCACCGTCGCGTTGCACCCTGATATTCGCTGCCATCCGCTACTCAGCGCTAGTCGTAGCAGTCGCTCCAGCGGCCACTATCGTCAACGTCGATACCAGCAGCAGTAGCAGCAGCACATACAAAAACACGTACTCAAGTTGTTCCCTTTCTCTCTTACTCCATCCATCTTTTCTCTCTCTAGCTTGCGGTGCGGACCGAGGGCGGGGACAGGCACGAGCCAATCGAGCACTGGGGGAGGCGGAGCTAAGTAGCGAGGGCGCCACCATCGGAAGACCCCCCATTGATCGACAGCACAGGCACACGGCACATACAATGAATACACACAGGCTCACAAACAGGCCAATGTTACACTCACCGACTCGACACAAACAGCAGCCGAATAGCTACGGCTGCGCCGCGTCTACCGCTGCTGGCTGGTAACTCAACGAAAGCGACGGAGGCATCGTAGCTAGGCGGCAGGGAAGACCCGACTGCTACCGATAACAGCAGCAGCAGTAGTCGTGGTAGGCGCAGCAGCGCAGGCTCTCCCTCGTATCGTGTCGATCGGGCTGTGAGTGCTATCACTGTGTTGGGCTAGCAGATAGACAGGCAAGAAGGCAGGGAGACATCGAATCAGGCAGCAAGAAGGGACCCCAGAAGCAAGCGCAGAGAAAGGCGACGAGCTAGATAGCCAACAGCCAACCTCTCGTGGTGTTTCGGCCGTGTGCGGCCCACGAACGGTATCGGCACTGACCGACCGACCGACCGACCAACGACATACGAAGCCGGCAGCGTTTTAGTGTACCACTACAACGGGTTTGTTTCTAGTGCCCCTGCTGAAAACCAGCAGCCAACAGCCGTGTCTCTATCAAATATCAGTGTATCCCTGTGTCCGCGCGTCCTATAACATACAATTACCATTTACCTCATCAGCCAGCTGAGCCAGCAGCAAGACAGTGCATAAAGCAACGCCTTAAAGTTAACGACGAATACATCCGATGAGGCCGAGGTAGTCGCGTAGCGAAAACACCAGCAGAAGGTAAGTTGAAGTATTAAGCGGTAACGAAAATCGAAGCGCCGAAGTTAAATCATTGGTTCAAATTACGCACCGAACCAAGCCAGAAAACCATAATGGATGGACAAGCCTGCGTCGCCAGCATCATGTGTGGTGGTGCTATTGATGTTTAACAAACACCAAGGAACGTCGCATCATTACTCTATATTAATCAAACAAGGAAGCGAGACGTCCGGGCGAATCGAGTTGATCGCCATCGTACGGCGGCAAACAACCAAGAACGAGCCGATTTCGATTTTTGTCTTGCACGCACGTTCACTTTGTGCATAGTAACACTGGCACTGACACCTCTATTGGATGCCATATTGGCATCATTCAGACATCAAGTACCTTCCCGTTTACACAGGAAACTAACGGCATTGCGGATGCCACGTTCCACCTAACGTTTATCAATGATTGCCGAAAGAGGATAATTTTGTAGAACGAGCTAGTGATTCGATTCTACGGTTGGCTTGCTCGGTTTGGATACTTCAGGCCGAGGCGAGCCTGAAGGCGGCCGACCGAATTAGGATCGAGCTGCCTCCTTTCTCTCCCGAATCTAGCCAGAAAAACACTATCCCGAAGCTGGCTGCCTTCAGTTATGGTGCAAAGAAAACGCAGCCAAGGCTTGCAAGTCAAATCGTCTGGGCTTCAGGCGTCTGCGTGTATGAAAAGGGTATCTTCATACTGTATGTGAATATCAAAGAAGTTGTTCTAAGCTATCTTTCTTCTAGCTGCGATTGTTGAAATACGTAAGGAAAAAGACGTTCGGACAAAGGAACATCTCAAGTGCTTTGTCTGTAGTGTTCGTCCACGTCAAAGACCTTAAGAGGATACGCAGCTAGGCCAACTGTGAAGCTCAAATGCATGTCTACTAAGATAGAGACGTAATGTTTTGCTGCCTCTTAACACAGTCGACAATCGGTGTTGGCGCTTATTGGCGTACGTACGACGGTGAGATAAGAAGCAGCGTCGGTATAATAACGCAACAATACACCATCTCGCGTTGAAAGTGAGCTGGATCCAAAGTGACACACCGGCCATCACCCTATCGACTACGACTGTCATATTGCTAGCAATGTTAAAACAATGACTAATAATGCCTTTGCATATTGGTCTATTTACCTAAATTCGACATAACAAGATTCTGTTGCAGCATACTATATTTATTTACGGCGCGCGTCAGTTTCTTGTGAAGTGGCGGTGCATCGTCGCCGAGAGAATCAGTAGACCTTGATGACGACTACCACGGATGCGTTTGTTGTCTGACAACTAACAAGTAGTGATGACCACGTTTTTGCGCAGTGCCTCTTTGCGCAGGAGGAAGACGTCGGTAAGGCAAGGGTGATCACCTATTTTTTTTTTACCACCCGCCAGCAGTCAAGCAATCTCTGCGATCTCGGTAGTGGGTTCCATTCATTCAATATCGTGTGTTTTGTGTGACGACATGTGTCGCGACGTGCTCGTCCGAAGTGTAAAGTGACGAGCTCGACATCTTGAATCTTTTGCCAAAGCGAGAGTTCTTCAGAGTTGCCTAGTTCTTTGTTGGCCTTATTTTTTCACCAATTATTTACGCGCGAAAAATTTGAAAAACACATAACACTACAAAATTTTCTCGTTTCAACTTGTGTTCGCATTGTGTGATTGTGGACTGTTATATTACACTACGAACGTCAAAGGAAGTGTGCCCGTGTGTGCTAGTCGCGCCGATTCCTAGCGTCAAAACGAGGCCTTCGCGGAGTACTCTCTTCTCACCGAGCGTTCATAACGGGTGCTCGCCGCATCCGTGAAGGCTCGGAACCTTCTCGGCGCCGGATACCAACATCTTGAACGCGCCAAGATGATGATGGATTCGTTGTCGGGGGGACCGGACTCGCTGTGCCTCCAGGATCTTGTCTCGGTTCCCCCTCCGCCCGATTCGTCGGGCCTAACGTTGGCCACGCTCGGGCCACCGATGCACCACATGGGGGCACACCATCTTGCCCCCATAAATCCATCGTGTGCTCCATTTCCAATGGAACACTCTCACCCGCATATGGGTCATCATATGGATCAGAAAAAGCGAGGTAAGTAAAACTGATCTTGTGTAAACCAGGAAGCTTGTCGCGCGTGAGTATCGGAAAAACAAAAAAAAATGTGTATTTGGCAGACCTGAACGATGGGCATGTATTTTGTATACGTTGTCTGTAGAAATAGGAATTTTCTATAATCTGAGAGTCGCAAGAATTGGTTAGGATATTTGCAATGACTCGTTTCTAGAACCCGGTATTTTACAGAGATTTAGTTCAAAGTTACGTTAAACTTCTCCACGATTTGAGTGAAAGGAGTGTAAGCCCTGATACTGAAGACAAAGAAGGAATAACGGCTCCACAAGCCGAAGTCACTGGGAACAACATGTGATAAAAGTAAACTATGAACCAACCTAGAGATTTGTAATCTCACATATAATGTATTTCTTCTTTCGGGTTACCGTGCCTTACTCGCTCGATACTGTAACCGTGTAGCCGAGAGGGAGAGTGCGTCGAAGTGTTTGAAGTATCAAAACACAACGCTTCATTTCTGGTGCCTTTTCCTTCACTGGGTCAAATAGAGCGATTTCTCTTGACAGCATTAACAGATGGTATTACTGAACTTTCTACATCTTAAAATAAAAACCTGTTATTATATTACCTGATCTCATCTTTGTGCAGTTAGTACAAAAAGCCAATGGAGATTGAATCTAATAAGGATTATATATATATATATATAATGTATGTATATGCGACCAAAACCATAGCACTATTTATTAACAGACTAAAAGACGCATGATGCGTTCATTAGATTTTAACCCGGGTCGAAAACTACGTAGCTGCAATGAGCATTGGCAATATTGATATACATTCTTCTGCCATTTGTAATTATAGACTCGTTTAGTTGTAGACAAATGTCTAATGAAACGATGGCACAATTACAAACTCAAAGCTCCAAACAGTTGTTAATGAGCTTTAATTGACCTCCTGACTATATCCGGATATGAGATGATCAATCATGTGGGCCTTCAACAACTTTACAGATGATGAAACGCGTCATTCTCTATTTGTCGTTTACCTTGTATAGTAGAAATCTGTAGCTATTCGTTTATCGTGTGATGAACGCGAGGTGACGAACACGTTGACGTCACGGTCGAATTGATTCTCGGACAAATCGAGATCTCGTACTGGCGAGCGCGTCTCTCCAAAATTCAATGCTGTGCTAAAGCCTTACAGAGCGCCAAAATCGTTTTTCCACGCGAAACGTGACACGAAACGACAAGCATGACGCGGCCAATTATAAGACCTCATTGACTTGGAATAGATCACACCTAATGGTATGCGGCAATAAAAGCGAAGTCACATAAAGATCGTCACTTTCACCTCAAAGCAGGTCCACTAGGCTCTCTGTCGCTGCGGGCAAAGTAGCGCGATCGAACGATCAGAACACAGCTAGCTATTGTTGTCCTGAAAGAATCCTTTTTCCAGACTCTCCATAAAAACTCAAGTAGTCTAGAACCTATGCGCTTTTCAACTGGAGGACAAGCCTTCGTGCCTAAAATACGCTGAGAGTCCCCAGGAGCCCTAGTCGTATTAATACATTTGGTGCTTACTACTGATTTTGTTTTTTCGATCGTAGTGCCGCTGTATAATGGAGGCCCTGACATAATTTTTAGTAGCGCCGATCGATACAGCTGACGCCGTAATAACATGCCAGATGATCGGGGGCAGAAGATAAATCAGAAGAAAATCCTATAGAATAAAGCTGTAACCCTGGCCTACTGCTTGATTAGCCGTCACGGTCCCAGGAAATGGGAGGTAAGGGCAAGCAAATTTCGAAATTTTTTGCCTTTATTCAATAGCTTTCACGTGCTCCGCAACTGCCTCCAGATGTCGTGGTACCCATCTATTCATTGAGTATGTGACCTTCTATAATTGATGTTAGCGACCTGTATCTATATAATAAGGAACAGATTCAAATAAGCCGCCGTTTGGATCAGTGTCCACCATTATGTCTGCCTTCCCAAAAGTCATCGACTTTTAGTTACTCATACCTTTTTTTCGGGAACACACAATTTTATATTTTTTTTAGGGTTGATAGACACTCCACATATAGCGAACTGTGGCAGAGAATTAGATTTTTTTAGATTTTTGCCGTCATTTATACGGCCAGCACGATATGATGCTTATATTACAAACACAATGCAATATCACGACAATATGTTAACCGTCCATAGTGAACGACCACTTTACAAAATCTATTTCAGTTATGCCACATAGGGTTTTTTTTAATAAAAGCTGAACGGGAGCTAAAGACACAGAAATAAAGCTCATATTCTAGTTTCGAAAAGTATAATTAAGCAATAAAATAGGCCTATTGAGCACTAGGCGGTATGGCGCTTAATCAGAAAATAAATAATAACAAAAGCTATTTTGAAAAGATACGAGTGAACTACGCACAAAGTTTAGCATACGATGACTAAAGCCTTCCTCGGAAAATTGAATAAGGTAGATGGAACTGAGCACGAACTTGAAATACTGCCAACATGATAACGGAGGCTAATCTTAAAAAAATATATTTAGAAACTTCAAATCCTGAAAGACCGCGGACTTAGTGTTAACATAAGTAAACGTTTAACAGCAGTACTAATCCTTTATTAAAACCCAAAACATGTATTTAGTAAAGATAGATGTCTTTTACCTTTTACAGGACCTTAAAGGACGGAAACGAGAACCTTGCAGAGCCTATTTTGATGTGATCATTCCCTTATTTGTTTAGGCGGAACTACGCCTAACACCAAATGGTTGCTTTTGTTTCTTTATTCAGGCCATGCGATAATTCACGCATAGCTGCTTCAACAAAGTTGTGACAAAAAAAACAAAAAATGTAGCAGGAAAAGCGTTATTTACACTACTAAATCAGATAACTTTATGACTGCTTAAAGTGATTATAGCTTTTGTCAACGCCGTTCAATGTAGCTCATGGAACGCAAGTAATACTCATTTGTAAGGCCAAAGCCTTTTTCTTCCTACAAATGTTATATTGTCATTAAGAAGCGACTATAAAACGATCAACCCAAAGAGGGAATTGCGTGTGCAATGTGTTCTATTTTTTTTATATGTTTAATAGGTTTTCTCTAACTTTTTTTTTATTTGTTAAGTTGTTCAGTCACTTCTGCAAACGGCTGATGTCACCGGTATTACCCAGACGTGCCAAACTGCCCGTGCTTATTAGTATGTTATTGTGATCGTTATTACTACTGCTATAATTATTTGTTTCCTTGGTCCCACTTGGCCCGTATGCTTAATGGTGGAAGTAAGCTGGAGGGATTAAGAAGCTAAACCCCCTGATGGAGTAGCTCGATATACTAAAGTCTCATTAGCTCTTACTGCTGCTTCTGCAACTGCGTTAGTTGCCTACCACGAAGTACAGAATGGTGTAAGAGGATCGAGCCCGATCCAGGGAGACACACTACACTGCAGTATACGTGAAACTATACCCCTTCACAATGGAAGGGAGAAGGGAAAGGTCTGAATGTGTGATCGCGCTTACGTATCTATTGACGGCCATGTCTCCGGAACACACGCGTGGATGAGGCGCAGGAAAAGCGATGGACATTCTTTCGAGTAGTTTTGATCTCGAGGTTTCACTGGCTGGCACTCGAACTGGCTATGCGCTGTTTGTCCTAACGTTGCCCGCGCTGATCTAAATTGCCCTACTAGCTTGTCGTGGATGTGGAGCTAGCCTATCTATTTACGGACTTTGCTTGCCAAATGCAATCCGCTCTGGGAACTGCGCAATTGTCTAGCAATGAGCGCCTAAGCACAATAGCCGTTAGCGGTGTCATTCAGCTTAAACATAGGAGATGGACTTTTGAACTTTCATTTTGCTTACACTTCAGGATGGAGGGGGGGGGGGGGGCAAACGAGTAGGAACAAAGAGAAAGGCAGGGAAAGAAAAAGAAATAGACACGATGGGGGCAGATGGGCGTAGAGCGTCGATAAACGCGTGCGCGTTTTATCACGGCCTTAGAAAATGGCAATCGAATTGTATAAGAGGTCTTTCTCCAGCTGTTTACCTAAAATATTCGCTGCTCCCTCTTCACTAAGCCGGTAGATGTTCAAGCAGAGGTTGTCATTTCGAACACATCAAGTGCCCCTTGGAAATCGTGTACAGTCTTTACGAATTATGCGCTATCCTCATCTGCACACATTCATTTCTAATAAATAGTTATATGGCGAACTTAATTTTAGCCTGTAAATATATATAAAAACCCTCCCGTTCAATGGCTAGTAAAAATTAGGGATACGTTTTCGTATTGCATCATATCAAATAATAGTCAACATTTACAAAATGTTTTTTTTTTCAGACTCGTTCGAGCAACTAGTAAATTATTATTCGTAAACACTTACTAGAATATTACTTTATTTTAAATTTAATTCGTGCAGCTCACACTGTCCAATTTTTTCGACAATTCATAATAACAAGCTTTATTGAAGAATTTGCCCTTTCGAATGTACTAAATAACCGATTTTTCATTGAACTTATAACGATTATAGCAGTTATAAACGCTCAAAAGTTTTCAGGATGATGAACTTGATCCAAGATCTATCGTTTGAAGTATTTCATGACACTATCCCCGTGTTTTCTCAGGCAACAGTTGTATTTCCGTGCCAATCTATCCCATAGTAGCCTTGAGGTTTATCCCGCATCTGTTCACCACTTTGTTTTCCCTCCTGTGGTTCAGGTATCGTCTATGGCAGATACGTCAAGTTGCCGCAGCCCTTATCAATGCGTTTTTTTCTCTGTTAATCTTCATCCAGTCATTGCTGTCAGCGTCGAGAATTCCCTTTTGCTTAATTTGTTCATCCGGTTGAGCTATATCTTGTCGCTGTCGTCCTCATCGTCGCCTCATTCCAGGGGCCACGTGTCCCCTTTCGTTGAGGCGGCCAACCCCTCGGGGAAAGCTAACCTTCGCCTCCGTTCGTGCAATTGTTCCCTTTGACCCGCTTCAGGGTCTCTAGTATCGAGCAGCACGAGTACTTTTGTGCCTTCC